AAAATCAGGAATTCCTCCCCTATTCCTGGATAAAAGCAGAAAATAATTATATCCCTGCTTTTCAGGCTGTCTCTTATGGACACATAACATCTAAAAGGAGCCCAGAGTATTCCCATTCAGCCTGGTGACAGACTACGTAGGTAGGCTGGAACTAAACTGAGCCCTGTCTGTCTGTCTGTGTGGCAGCAGAGGTGACAGGAGAACACCATTTGCAGTGAGGCAGCCAAAGAGCAACGACAGCAGGGATGATGGTAGTTGCAAAGTGCCAGCAGACTCAGCTTTGGAACAGATTTGCCAAGACTGCTGCACCATGTGATGACACAGATTCCATGCTGAATGCACAGTGACATGGAAAATGTCTCCTAGTGGTGTCCAGGCATCACCAGTTAACTCCTTTAATAGCTGCTCTCCCCTGACTTTGTCCTGTTTCACCAGCTGTTGTGCATCTCCTGTTCAGGAGGAGACACTGGCACAGCGGAAGAATCATTAGGGAAATGCAACAACATATGGATGTGAGAGGGAGGTTCAATAATGAGTTTCTGTGTGTCTGTGTTCAGTACATGCACAGGGAGCTCCATCTCATTTACTTGAGCTTGATTTGCTGTTTGTTTGTATCTTTCTGTACCAAGGAGCCCCTGGAAGTGCAGAACATTCTGGAGGTTACAAGAGCAAATCACCAAGCATAGGGTCAGTTGAACTGGGCAATGCAAACTAAGTCTAGAGTGGAGAAAAATCTTGTTTAGTGAAAAGGCAGTTCAGCAATCCAGCTGAATATCCTTCACTCCTGGTTGTCTTCCAGGGCTGAAGACATTGACCTGGTGCCACTATGATCTATGACTGCTGAACAGCCCCTTGAAGTTTGTGGGGTCCAGCAAGAACTACCTTGGGAAGCCTCAAGAGCAGAGACTTGAAATAACCTATTGCATGAGAATTAGAGCTGATGAAGCCTGAGCTTCTGTGTGAATTTATGTCTTAGTGTAAGTCTTTGGACGCAGGGTCAAATAGAGGGTTTTGGAATGCTAGGTAGGAGAAATTCTCTGAGGATTCTCTGAGATCTAATAGTATCAGCTTTGTGAGAAATGCTTCCTTAGAGTATACATAAGTTCATTCAATGGGTCAGCTCCTCTAAATACTGATTTTTACCCAACCTGGTTAAGCTTAGCTGTCCTTAGGATATGTTAACAAAATATTAAAGGTCACAATGCATTGAGGTAGCATGTGCCCCCCAAAACCCATGCCCTCAGGAGCCTCATTCTGCAAGTCTTGCTTCTGTATGAAAGGTAGTTAAAATAAATTAATATTTTTTTCACATTTTCCCATCTGGTTTTGCCTGGCTGGTCAACAGCCCGACTGTAGCATGTGAATCCTGGCACTCTTTGCTCTGCCGGTCATGAAACCCTCAGGAAGGTATTGGGGCAATGAAGACTGACAAAGTGATTGCACAGTCTTTTGCCTTTCCTAGAACCTGTGGCATGTTCAGTGTCTCCAGGTGCCCTGGGGCAAAATTCCTAAGTTTTAGAGGTTTTTTGATCTCTTAAGTTCACACATCCAAGCAGCTAACAATTTATTAGGGTCACACTTAATTAAAGGCTTTTAACAGTTTATTAGCATTTCTTCCAAGCTTTCAGTTTATGACTGAGATAAGGATGTGTTCCTACATTCTACCTCACACCTGCCTATTATGTGTTTCATTATTAAAAGCTTTTATTCGTTAAATCTCCCATGAGATGCATACCTTAGAGAGTAACTCAAATCAGGCAGTCACAACCTGTCCAATTTAATGTTTCATAAGAAGGAAGCTTTAGGATTCCATCTGGCATAGTAAAAAATCACCAGATACACCACCATAATAATGCATTGGAAAAATAATTGTTAAAATTCTTTTTCTCTGTGCTGGGGGCCACTCACTCAACTCTCCTGTTGCCCAGAGAAACTGTGGCTGCCCCATCCCTGGAAGTGTCCAAGGCCAGGTTGGCTGGGGCTTGGAGCAACCTGATTTAGTGCCTAGCACTCCTGCCCATGGTAGGGGCATTGGAACTGGATGATCTTTAAGGTCCCTTCCACCTCAAACCACTGTATGATTCAAATCACCAATCTTTAGAAACGAGACCCAGAGTGGAAGAGCCCAAACTGACTGTGATGGTTCTCTATTGATACGGCCAGAAATTGTGGAAAGAAGGATAAAAAGAAACAGAAGAAAGCAAATTGGGTCATTCTGAGAAAGGAGATTATGATATGGTGATTGTAATAGATTCCCCAGCCTGCACATTTTTCAACAACTCTTTTGTTTTAGGCTTATCTGCATTCAGATCACATTAATTCAAAGGGCAGTGGATCCGATTTTCTGTTGCCCAGCACTTTGTATAACATTTGCCTCTTCTCCAAATGAAGGCAAAAATGGATGTAAAATGCTGCTCAGAATCTGGGCTTTGTTTTCATCTCCCACTAGTTTCGCAGAAATGCCTCTGTATTTTTATTTTTCCTCAGTTACCCTTGCGTGACAGCAGTGGAACAAAATGACCTTCTTTTGTCCTTGCTCTACTTACATATAGCTTATGTTCTTATCAAACCAACCCCAAGCCCGTTCTTTGCCTGTAACTGCAGGTCAAAACATCAATTTTGGCAATTCGGCTGCCCCCTCTGCCATTTGGAAGGAGCAAGGTGGAGACAGCTGGCAGTTAGGGGAGCACTAGGAAGCATATGGTAGCTCTGTGCAGTGTTGTCCAAGGGCTCATAGGACAATCACTCACTTGCTTCAGTGATTTCCAAAATGCACATCTCTTTTTTGGGTCTTTTCTCACAAGCCCCCAGGATAGCCATTGTTTCAGCAAAGGTCATTTTAGGAGAAACTCCATATTTTGATATTATTTGGCTCTTTCCATGCAAGAAAATATGTTTAAAAATTATCCTGATACCATAAATGACCACAGAGAAAATAGAGTGGCAGATAAATAAAGGTAACTGGGTAGAGACTGGGGCAACAAAATATTAGAAGAGACCATCCTAAATTTAAGAAATTATGCAGCTGGGCATTTGCAACTTGTGTTTTTAGCATGGCAGCTGGTTGGAGAGTTAAGAAAATATGTGGCCATGCAATGTTGGCTGAGATCCTGCCTGATCTTGAGAGTTAAACACAGCCAGGCCCTGTAGTGTTGGATGGGAAACGGCCAAGGAAAATCCAGTGATTCAGTAAGTGGCATCCTTCCTGCACGATTACAGCAACCCAAGTGCCAGCATGGTGCTCGGGGGTAGCTTTGTTGGTGGCAGTGATATTTTAATATGAGATGTAAACTTGTTGAAGGATCTAGTGATGATTTGCACAAAGATAAGGAAGTTTTAATAATCACTGCCTTGAAATTCCATTTTCTGCTTTCTGTTTCATAGAGCTTTCTTCCTGTTTTATTCTGATGATTGATCATGATCATCACTACAATAAAAGTAAATTCTTCCAAGGAGGTGGCTGCATTTTTATAAATTCTGTTTGTGTGTACTGCCTCCAGAACGTGTACAGCATTTGGTGAGGTGTAGGACCAGAAGTTTGTGCCTGTATAGAGATGTTTTAAATACTCTCCAGCAGTAGAAAATACTTATTTTATATATATACTTAATACTTCGGGAAGCTTGTAATAATTTCTCTCCCTTTACTACTGTTGTTGATTGTAGCTTCTGAGCTACAATTGTGCTTTTGATGCAACTGCACTTTCTAAACCAGATCAGTGTGCTGGTTTGGACAAAAAAAAAAAAAAAAGAAAAAAACTCTAAAAGCAGACATTGTTCACCTTCTATAAATTCTGATGAAGTGCAGCCCTACAATCAGTTCCTAAAGCACAACTGTGGAGGCAGCAAATCCCAATGCAGACCTAGATGAGGGGGAGCAAGGAGGCAGGAAACACCTTCGTGTGGTTTTTACACCAGAAGAAACAGTCTGACACATTTTTACCAGTGCCAGAAGAGTAATGCCTATTTTAAGTTTTGAAGTTTACCTACTAGACATCAATATCCAATCTTTGTGCAGTTAAATTTATGTTATATAAGGAAAAGTTTGGAGTTTATAAAGGATATACAAAATGTTTTCAATCCTTGGGTTACAATTCTGTAATGTAGTACTATATTTAATGCACTAGTAGGAGTGGCTAGATTAACATTTTTGCAGAGGTCAAGCTGTAATTTTTATTTTTTTCTTCGCAATTTCCATTTGAAATAAGATTCCATGACACACCTAAATGATTATACACAAGAGTCTATTCTAATAGTAGTAGGCTCATAAAAAATAACAAGACCAAATGATAACTGTCTCCTGACCCATACATGTATTTACAATAGAAGTACTTTAATAAAGGTAGCTACATCCTCTAGATCCCCAGACCTTTACTTGAACTCTTCTGTAGCATAATTGACAGACAGAATTAGAGTGTATATTAAGACCTGGAACTGAACTTTTTCCATAGGCTTAGCTTCACTTACATCACTCGTAATATTAGAAAGAATCTGTGACAATCATATTAAAATGATGCCACCCTGACACAGATTAACAGAGTATGCAATTATATTTAAATGCTGTAATTGGAACTTGATGTTAAGTGCCTACTGTCACTTCTCAATTCCCCTCAAGGCAAGTAAACCACTTCTTCCTTTGCTCTCTGAATTTAATGCCATATTCTGTACACAGTAAGAGCTGGTATTTCATCAAGAGCATTTTGTTTGCCTCAAATGCTGTGAAAACACAGGCCTTGTGAACACTGCAGGATATAAATCCATCCTGGAAAACGACTCTGTTAAAAAAAATTAAAAAGGCATTTTGCCATTTCATGCTTATGGGGACAACCTGGGTCTTTGCATTTGATTAGTTTCTTCACCTGAAAGCCATTTCCAGCTCAGTCTTTTGTAGACAGCATATTAGGTGTAAAGATCCTGAAGGCAGGCCCAAGTGAGCCTGATCTTTTTAAAGCTGAATCTTTTTAAACCCCAGGGATGCACCCAGGTGTTTCTGAGGGCCTCACCTTGGTGGCAGATCAGCTTTTGCTTCTGGTGGCCCATGACAAGGGAGAGCTCTGTGGCATCTTCTTGGCAGAGGAGGAACTGCAAATGGGGTGGGTGGGAGGGAAAAGAGAACTGTTGTTAATGATTCTAAAGTAAGATTTTATGGGAAATGTTTAGAAAAATAATGATGGGAATGTCTTGCATAGCTTTTGGGAAATATCCTCCTCTGAGTGCTTCCTCAGTTCTCTGTGAATGTGGCAGTGCTGCCTGTTGGTCATCAGTCAGTTTTTTATGTGTTTTCCTAGATTTAGTCAGAATTGTGTGTAACCCAGGCTTTGGTATGATTCCTTATTTGGATTGTTCTAGTTAACACCTAATATGTCTAGCTGTGTAAAGAGCAAAGTGTTGAAGTTTGGATGAGAGTCTTGACCTTCTCATGGTCCCAAACTGACTGAAGCTGGACTTTTATTTTTCTAGCACAGTCAGGAACAGCACTGCTTTTCCTTCATGTCTGTTGCCAAAATGACTTAGACTTGAACTTTCCCAAGGATGGGAATGTGATTTTGTGTAGTCTCCATACTGGAGCAGTCCTGGGGATCTCAGCTAATAGGTGTGATAGCCCAACACATGTTACATTGGTAATGCAGAAATCTGTAGTGTTGACTCTTGCTCATTGGAAACTTAATCTAAGGCAAGTAAGTCCTTTCTCAAACCTAGCAGTTAAATAGTATCCATTTGGAGGTGCTTTGGGCTGACCAGAAAGGGTAGGAAGGAAATAGTAGGATTTTTTAAATTGTTATGACTGACTGTAGCTTTACTGTGGAAATTGGTGTTATCCAGACTGGGGTGCAATTAGATACGCCTTCTTAGTGGTGTTGCTTTTCTACATACCGTACTTGCACTAATTCTACACGATGTCTACAGGCCTGTGGATGTTTTCAAAGCAGTGACTATAAAGCTCTACATTGATGGCTTTGATAAATGCATGGGGGACTCAAATCTGAGTCTGGGCATTGATCTGCATTGTACAAAAATCCCTCTATTAATCCGTTTCCATTTTCTCTCTTGAAACCATGTATTTTTCTCTGAGCATTGAACTAGAAACCAGCACACCCAGATGCTACAGAAGGCCTTTGGCTCCTTCACAAAATTTGGTCTTAAATAATGCTTTTGCAGTGTGGCAAGTGCTAGAACCCCACATGGTGACCTACATGGCGTTGGCTAGAGCTTTTCTTGTGAATCTAATCCAACAAAAGCAGCTGTCTCTAAACCAGTAGAGCTGCAAAAGCATTCATTTTTTAGCACTGTGGCCATTCTTCAGGGTACTGGTAATAAATGTGAATATTTCAAATGGGGTGCAACACTCTCAGTAAGACCCTAGCATGCACGTTTTCCTGTAAAATTATTTGTTTGTGAATTTTTTGTTTGTGGTTTTGTTTTGCCTTCACACTATATTTACACACACGCTGCTTACTGCTTAAAGTGGTGGAAGGTAAAAACGTGACTGAAAACTCTCTTAAATAGAGTTTGTGCTGCATCTGATTTGCATTATTGTATGTTTATAGCCCCATTAGAGAATAATAAATACAATGGAAAGATTAATATGAAAACACAAAATTCCTGCTGATTCCAAATCTGTATGTTCTCACCATGCCTTTGTGTCAAGGCAAGTGTTCAATTTACAGGGAGCTCAAGAATCCTTCAGTCATCCCATGTAAAAACTTCCTTTTATTTTGTTGGAGTCCTACAGCATTGTTAATTCAAGGGTTTTTTCCAAGTACTTTGAGCATTATCCTAGAACAATAATTCACTATTATTTGATCAGAGTTTGTGGCATTGGCTGCTGCTTTCTCAACCACCATAGCAAGATTCTGTAGATCAGGTCCTGCCCTACATTATCTGAGCCACAGTCTCCATTATTAAGAAAACTGAGGATATTTCAAGGCTATGTTTGAACCACTGCACTTGTTAATCTACTTTGTTAATTAAATTCTTTCTCTCAGGATTCCCTGTAAAATATGTAGAGTAAGATTCTGGCCCCATTCAAGCCAGTGGCAAAACTCCCATTGATTTCAATGATCTGAGACTTCATCCTTAAATCCAGACTGGAAGAGATACAGGCCAACAGGCTGCAAAAATACTAATAGAGTCATTTTCAATTCAGTGCTGTGACTAAGGCTTATATTTTGGAAGTGAGAAGTTTAATCCCAATAGTAGGTGACAATACATCTCTCTAAGGAACCAGTGGAAGTGCTGGTGAGGCTTAGAGGTTGTGACAGGCCTGCTGTCCTAATTAATAACTTGTCAATCTCAGGATGGAGTTAGGCTATTTCATCAGCCCAGGACTCCAACCTGGGGATATGCAAAGGAGGGTTAAATGAAGCTCTGCTATAGCTTAAAATATCACAAAGTTTGGGGGGGATTGAAGGATCTGGATTAAACTTCTGATGTGCAGTGATACTTCATTAACTTCAGGATGTATTTCTAGCAAACAGCATCATAGTATAAAATAAACTGGAGTTTCATAATTTTCCTCCATGCTACCAAAGATACACCCAAATGAATGGTTATATCTCAAAGTATTTTGTATTTAGTAAAAGAAAAAAATCTTCCAGGGTTTTAGTGATTGGGAGGATAAAAGTGCAGATTTCCTAAAAGCTCTGTAGTGTTGGGAAAAGTATCAGGGACAATAAAAAGAAGAGGAAAACACAGCATAAAAGCATAAAATAATTGCATGACTTCTGAGAAAATAAAACCAGTATTTGAATACAGTGACCTAAAAAAGAAACAATAGCAACTGGCCAAATTTTTGCATCCATTTAGTTCCAACATTTTCCTTGTCTGACCCTGACAGCCTCAGAGGGTTATTTTTTCATGCCTTTACAAGGAGATGGAAGCAATTGGAAATGAAAGCACAAAAAGATGTGCCAAAAAAAGTAGGACCCACTAAGACTTTTGAGCCTGCAATCCCTATATCCTTTTCCAGCCTTTGAAAAAACTAAATGCAACAAATTTGCAGGACTGCCTGCATACAGAGTTTTCCATATCCCATTTGAAAAGTATACTTGGTATTCAATGGCTTTTTGGGAGACAATATTCATCAGTCAGCTGAAGTACACTGTTTTGAATCATGAATATCTCTGCAGCCAGTGAATAATTTAAAATATTGAAGAAGTCTCCCTGCTTTAGCCATGTGCTCATTCCCCTCTACAACACATGGATCTGTAAGTCCTGGGACACCAGTTAGCTATCCCAAATCCACCATCCCTGGTAATCACTGGATTCCTTCGAGGAAGCAAACTTGGATTAATTGTCTCATACTAGCCGGCAGCCAGAAGGGGGGGATGACAGCAAGGTTGTTTAAGACTTAGAGGGCCAAATTATTCTTAATTCCACTAATCACCTCTAGCATGAATAGAGAGGTTTTGCTACCCATTCTATTGACTGGGGAAAGCAGAATTACAATTAGAAGTAAGGTATGAATGGAAATAAGGGAAGAGAAGGCTTGAAAACCTTGGGAGGATACAAGGATATTGATTTTGGGAGAGTGTAAGTTCTGCCTGTCCCCAAGGGGAGCAAGAAAGGTGTCTGTGTGGAGGAGTTTGCATTGAAGGACTGTGTGTTGTGTAAACATGTTATGTTCACCTTGTCATTGGCACTTGTCAGGCCTGATGGTTATAATATCACCTGTACTCCTATAAATTTAATTTATTTTTCCATCCAGGCTACTACATGTCATTTCTGTATTCACCAGCAAGGTGTAAGGGGAATAAAAAGTCAAGTGCATTTAGTCAATTAGAGTTAGGTTCAAGAACCTATGAAATTCAGGGAAAAAATTGTATATACATGAAGAGTTTTGTGACTGGCAAGTGCTTCTTCCTCTTCCTACTGACATTTTGGATTACTGGCTGTTTTACAGCTCATTGTTTTTCAGCTGAGATTTTCTGTGTTATGTTGGTAAAATCATAGTGTTTGATAATAAAGTTGGGAAGGAACAGTAGCTTAGCATGGGATTTACCTAATACTTAAAGTGGTTATTGGTAAACAGATGTTGCTACTAAGTGCTTAAATTAGATAATAAATGGTACCTATCTCATGAATTCCTTCCCTCCATTTACTCTGGTGTGCAGTCTGGGACTTTTTTTCTGCTTTTAAGATGTTTTAGGGATGCAATTTGCTTGTGAATCTTGCACAACTGTCACTGGTTCAATACAGGCTTAAAGGGATTAATTCTTTTCTAGAGGGTCCCAAGTGGATTTTTTATTAACCTTTTGGGTAATAAACATTTATCTCATTTTTACAGCAGCATTTAACACTATCTATTTATGGCCAAATATCTCTAAATCCATTACATGAGCTGAAAATGCACCTGCTTCAGAAAAAACCTCTCTGGAGAACCTGGAGCAGGCACTGATAATTGTAAACAAAACAAAACAAGAGCCCATAAAATAAAAATTAAAGTATTACCTTGAGTATCATGTCTTACAGAATGGCTGCTTTGAACAAAAACCTAATTGTTATCATAGCATGTCTATTAAAAAAAGAGAAAGAATTAAGAGGATTGATGGAGTTGGTGTGAAATTGAGGCGGTTTCTTGTGTGCCCAAGTCACAAGAGCAGCATCTGGGATGTTGTATGTATATTGAGAGCATGACACTATGATCTATGAGCCCACCCTCTGCCTTGGTGCTTATAAATTTATAGCCTCCAAAACTGTTTTGAATGCTCTGTATGAAGAAATAATAATGTGGGCTAGAGGTAGAAGCAACCCAGGTAAATCCCACATTTGGTGCTGTCTCTTCTCCTTAAAACCCTGGAGAATCAACACAGGTTTTACAGGGGTAAGGATGAGAAAGGAATGGAGGAAAATACTACCTGCCATCCAAAGAACTTCTCTGCATGCTGTGAGCACAGGTAACACAGAACAGAGAGGGTGCACACCTGAAACCTGCAACAGCATTCTCAGGGGAAACAGATTTTAAGCACATGTTGATTTAAATGTCATCTTACTTTCCTGAAGTTAGGCATGTGCTTGAGAGCTTTGAATTAGAATTGTAGTAACAGTCCCATTAAAAAAACAAAAAGTTTTCTAGAAAATCTGA